ATTTAGTACAAACGTAATTATTTTTAAACGAAAAAAAAATTTCGAATAGCTTAACTTTTAATAGAAAAAAAAAGTGAAATGCAGAGCCACAACATTTTACTACTCAATTATCTAAACCAAGGGGGCATAACACCCAACTTTACCAATTAAATTCAACCCAATCCAATCCCAAAACACAGGATACATGCTATCTTGGCGACGTTAAATAGTAGGTAATCGGGTCGCTCCATACATCAGTTCTTGAATAACGAAATCGAGTCTCCTGAAAAAATCACGACGGAAAAGAACAATGAACGCCAAGCAACAGAGCATAGGAAATGTATGCTCCATGGGTACATTAGCTGTATGGGGTTAACAGCGCTATTCTTTGTTCCTTTTTCGTGTTCAGTGGGTGTTTACGGGGAACACTATTTCCGTTTTGTTGAATGTTACGTCACTTTGATATCTTTCTGAAGCACAGGCATTGATGAATTAGGTCATTGACGAAATTGTCTTTGACTGGAGTTAGAGTTATAAATTTATTTTACGCATTGAAGACAAAATTAGATTTAGTTTTTTTTTTAATGCTGTTGTTGGGAAATAATTTAATAATTTTGTTTATAGTGAAAAGTAATATAAAAAAATTAAATTGCCGGGTACAAAAAACTAAACACATTAAACAGAAAATGTGTTTATTGCTTAAGCTCGTTTAACAAAATGTGTTTAAATTCATTATTTTTAAACATTGTGGGATCTTAACTCTAAGGATGAGAATTTAAAAATAGCGGGAACAACTGTCTCAATTATTGTTTGTTAAAAGTTTACGACAAAGCAAAAAAAAAAAGATTTATTAACATTCGTCTTAGAGAAACCACAAATAATACACATGCTCTTTTAACTTGTAAACTGAAAGAAATATAAAAATGAACTTTTATGTACCTTGTTATATTGTTCGTAGAACATTTATGAATAGTGTATCCCCTATGCTGTTTATATGAATCTAGGGTTAAGCTGGCTAAGTTGTCATGTGCTAAAGTTGTTGCATTTGCTGACAATTTCCTGCAATCAGAAAAAATAAAATAAAATAAAAATAGAATAAACAACTGTCTGAATTATTGATTGTTCAAGGAATGATTGATGCGTTAAAATCACATTTTAACCTGTCAATATTGTTCCAGTTTAAAGGTTAGATCTTGAAATAAATTAGAAACTATAAAAAGTTTTTTTTTTCAATTTCACTATAATTTTTTTTTTTTTTTAAATAACCGCATATGTTTTATAAATAAGGCTTTTCAAAATACCGTCATCAAATCATTAGTCCGGAATACTAGGGCTGGGCAATCAATTTGTTCTAACAGGTGGCAGACTATACCTGTGAAGCCGCAAATCAATGACTCATTCTTTTCATTTTCTTTTTTGTGCAAAAAGATGGCCTGAAGTGAACAGCCACCCATGCATGACAGAATATGGGTGTCTTGTGTGAGAATCACAGCTTGATTCGCTTTATGACTTTCTAAATGACAAAATGATTTCATTTGTAGCAAATTAGCGTTCTTCTTCTTCTTGCCCACTTTCAATGGGAAAAGATCTCATTATGTCCTTAAAAAAAAGTTCCACTTTTTACCTCGTTATTGTTACATCTTCAGGGAGTTTAATATATAATTGCTTAACAAATCCTTCATTGTTTTAAAAGTAAATATTTCCCTCGTAACTACTAGCATTGTTCAAGAGTAAAAAAGAAAATTAATTTCGAATGAAAATGACATTATATATCTTAAATCCCAGAGCAGAAATATGTCAACAAACTCATAAAGCAGTGTTTGCTAATGTTTATGTAATATCTTTTCGTTTCGTTACAGTAGAGATTAAGTTCTATATACGTATTTAAATTCGAAATAGGAGGTTTTAATAGTTTTTGTAGAAGTGTGAAACTTTCCACTAATATGTCACGAAATGGTCTCAGATATGTCAACAAGTTCTCATCTTATTGCTGCAATTTTCGTTAAGAAATTCGAAGATTCTAATAATTACAATTTGTGAATAATTCTAATTTTTGTACCTTTTTTATTAAATTTTTTTATGGAACAACTTTTAGTTTGACAGAATTCTAATTTTGACGTAGTCAACCGGATAAAATTCTCCTTCGAATTTTGTCTTTTAAATGGATGTTTTATGCCTGTATCAGGGTCTCTAAGTTTGACGACAGACCTTGATCAACGCAAATAAGGTTTAGGGTCCATCTGTACTTAGTCTTAAATTTTACTACTTTTACCACCTTTTTATTTTCCTACAATAATTTTAAAACAGAAATAAATAGCAAAAAAAAAAGCGTCTAATTAACTTATTTAATGATAAATTATAAAAATGAAAATAGTTGATACTGTTATATCAAAACTCGACTTCTTAATCATATTTATCATATAATTGTAAATGCCATGTTATACTTCATTTTTTTTCCAAATTTTTTTTTGCAGGAAAGTTGCGTTTGTATGTAAAAAATTTTTTTTAAAAGTTTATTTTGAATATCTCTCTGTGTATATCATTTATAAGAGAAATGATATTTGATTATTTAACGTATGTTTAGATCCAGTATTAGTAAATTAAATTAACTATCACTAACTCAGCTTTTTCATAAAAAGGTATGAAGTCGGATTCCCTCCTTATTTTCATTTATCTATCGTTGCAATAATAAACCTATCAGCTGCAAATTAAATGAATCGCTAGAAGTTGCAAGTTAACGCTTTTTAGAATCGTTTGCTGGCTTCCGCGTCTGGTGAAACGGGAAGTAGAAATTCGAAACAACAAATTTCGCAATCAGTATAATTTTTATTCCTTGTTCGACATCTTTCACTATCAGTTACAACAAACAGCATGCTTTACTCGTTATGTTTGTTTTTCAAACACCGATAACTATTAGATATTCTAAATATAGTTTTTCTTTGAATGTGTTTATTCAAGCCGAGCCACCTTCTTAATAAAGATGTAGGGGAAAAACAAATATGATATTTAGTGCATTGCATTGTATTATGTTTCTATAAGCAGCACTTTTTATGGTTCCTTTGTCTAATATGAACGATAAGGAACTAGTAATAAAAAATTCGGTTAGAGAAATACAGACTCGATCGATTTGATTGTTGAAATTAAAAGATATTGGCATACATCTAATTTTTATATCTTGTTGTTATATAAACTCTTTAACTGCCATGAGCATTGTTTATGGATTAGAACTTCAGGATTTGCATATTCGTAATTAAACTAATGACTACTAATTTAGATAAATTCCCTTGTGTTATGAGCTGTTCATTAACCTAAGATTATTTATTAGTTACAATGCAAGTTAGAGATCATCGGAACTTGAAGTTTATAAAAATAAAAACACCTATTAAGATTGAGAATGATAGAATAGGACATTTGCTGAATTTGATTAAAACTTAGAAAACGATAAATTATATTATTTACCGTTTGATCTTTTGGTAAATTTATTTTAAGACTATGGCAAGGCAATAAAAGGATTTCGGACAGAAATCGAATTTTCTATCTTATCTATCTATCTATTGTTTGTCTTAACTGCTTTTACAGTTTCAGGTTTTAATTTAAATAATTAGTAATAGGTTATGACTATTTATTTATATAATATCTTATCCTCATATCTTATGTTCAGTTCAATAGCATTAGTTATTTGTTTAGTATAAAAAGTAGATTTGTTTAGTACATATATAGATAATTCTAACAATCGCTTTTCGACTTCTCTATTTTCATGTGGTAATCAAACAGGTTTTGGTATTTTCAGTCGAACTTTTCTATGTATTCGTTGAACGTCTATAGCGATGTGGTTAAATTCTTAGCTTAAATATAAATTATATAATTTAAAATATATTTATTTCACATCCAAATTATACTAACCACAATTTACTGCGATCTCCTAAAGATTCTGTATATTTAAATAAAGCTTATAAAGGAAGGAAAAAAAAAAATGTATGCAAATTTCATGTTTTCATGAATAGTAAGCACAGCAAGTAGTGTTTCCAACGGTTTTACAGTAGTGTATTAACAGTGAAGTCTTTCAAAATAATCCACCAACCTGTACCTTAATTAAATCTGAGAACAGGTATTGCTTCTTAGCTACTATTTATTCAGATGGATTAGAAATGATCAGAGTTTTATCTTTACCAGCTCCAGGCATCAAATGAGGTCAAGAGCAAAATGGAAGATGTAATTTTTACTGTGTCTGAATTTTAATAAAATTTTTATTTCTTTATATTTTTTTTCTTGATGGGTTTAATAAATATTTGGTGTTATATCATTTTTGATGTATTTACATGAAATTATTATAGATCTTATGTTTGTTGTCGAAGTGTTTTGTTAAATGCATGTTTCAGTTGTTTTAAATGAATGCTTGTGCATTTCAAAATCGTTTGATATTGATTACTTTTCAGGCGATAACTATACTTTTTTTAACTGTTTTTTTTTTGTTTAAAGAATAATTACTCTTTTAGAAACTTCTTTTGACAGCATTTATGCGAGTAGAATTTAAATTTGAAGTCAATGAAATGTGCTTTATATTTAGAAATATTCAATTTTTTCGTACTCTTATTTATAAATCTAGTTATTTAATTTTTGTGTCTGCTTTTAAAAATATTTGGAACTAGCTTTTACTTTTATAACAGTAAAACTTTTTCACTACTTGATGCCTGCAATCATAAAGCATTGAATTAAACACTAAATAAACCATATAATTTTAAGACTTTCGCGCAAAATAAGGTGGAATTTTTAAAATGTTACAAATAATACTTACATTGTGTATATACTTCATAAACTAGGTATCCAATTAGTCAATTTTTTATTAGAATGATACAATAATACAAACATCGAAATTATGAGTTATGTCTCTATTGTGGTTTAATGGTGCAAATAGAATTTATTTTTTTTCGGATTAAAAGAAGTTTTAAATGCATGCAAATTCATTTCTATATAAAAATAAAATGCCGAACTTCTGAAATTAAATGAGTTTTAATTCACAGGTACTTTGGCATTTGGATTCCTTTCGAAGAAATTTTCGAGAAGTATCTAGTCATGCATGTATGGCAGAGTCTTGTATATTCTGCGCTTTAAAGGTAAGATTCAATTTTCGTTCGAAATATAAATTAAAATTTTAAGATTTTGAAACAAATGAAATAATATAGACTAAATTCAAAATAAATATTAATAATATTTAAGTTGGATTGAAATTTTTTCAGAAGCAAATAATCTTTCTAAAACGGCTAATAACAACAGAATAATAAATGAGTAAATAAGAGAACCGACCAGAAATTTTTAAATAATTATTTACTTTATTAAATAATTTTATAAAAATTATTTGAAGATGGTGGTATTCTGAAGAAGATAGACTATAAAATTTATAGAAAAAAAAAAAGTCCCGGATTTGCATTTCGATTTTTGATACTACGATAAGAGCATAAATGATTTTTTTTCCCTTCGTGTCTTTACATTATAATAGATTTAACACTTACTTTAAAATGCAATTACCATGCTATATAAAATAGAGATGTCTTTTATATGATTCACATGCCAGAAAAAGCAGAAGGAAGAAAAAAGTTCAAGGTTATATCATCAGATGTGACATAAAAACAATTATTTTTATATATTTGCTAGTTTGAATAATAGATCCATAGTTTATTTTTTTTTACCTAATTCTTCTGTAACAATAAAGATAAAGAGATGAAAAGAAACAAACATTGACTTTGTAAGTTAAGCGAGTATAATGAAACAAAAACATGGGGACATGTGCGCTAATTGTCCTTTCAATTTAAACAATGATTATGTGTTTATTTCCCCGTACGGGGCATTCAAGGATTTCTGTTGTTTAGAGGTCTTATTTATGGTGGTAAGAAAGATTTGTTTAAAAATTGCTACATTCAAATATTAATGGTTAGTACTCTTAATAAAGAAGTAATTTTTTTTAACCTTCATTTCTAAAAAATCACCAGATTTTTTTAAAATTTTAATAATTTAAATTTATTGATAAATTAAAGAGTATATTAACGTATAGGATATTTTTTTTAAAAAATACTATTTTAATGCCTGCTAGGAATTTTGGAATTGTGTTGAACAATAATATACTCGCTCAGAAAAAATCGGACTAACGTTGGATCATAATATCGGTGTTTTCAATCACAAGTACAGTGCAGATTTGCTGAAAGCTCAATAAGGTGAACCATGCTTCCGTTCTAGTTAAACCACTATATCATTAATATGGTTCAACTTAGGCACCATATTCAGGTTGCTGAAAATTCGAACGATATTATGGTGCAAATTATCTTAAACTGAGTCAACATATTTTGTAACTCACTTTGAATGGAAATTAGGTTCAATTTAATGGTTGCTACGAACTCGATTGCGTGTTGCGGTTCTAAGTATGATTCGACGTTGAACTGATTTTCCCGAATGTGTAGTTAAGCATTACTATAGTATTTCAGTTAAAAATGTCTATGTTCTTATTTCTACGGCATCTTCATAAATTAATTTTGTTGCGTAATATTTTCAGGAGCTGTTTACACAATTTCAATATAGCCAAGAATCTGCTCTGCCCCCTGATGCCTTGCGTCATGCATTGGCTAAAACATTTTGCGATCAGCGACGATTTCAACTGGGATTTATGGATGACGCTGCCGAATGTTTTGTAAGTTAATGCATTATGTTCATAGTAAGCTGTGATACTTATTTAAATTTAATTATTTTTTTTTTAAATGGAGAATTTCTGATGACTAATAATTTGTGCATAGCTGTCACAATAATATGACTTAATCAATGATTTTTAATGTTTTTTTTACAAAATTTTTTCAGGAAAACATTCTTCTCCGAATTCATGTTCACATAGCTAACCAAGAAGGCGATGATATGTGTGGTCATTCCAACTGCATTCCTCATCAAAAGTTCGCAATGACATTGGTTGAGCAGGTATTATATTCAAATTTGTTATTAAATTTACATAAAAATATCAGACATACAGGGTATTCAATGTGTCTTTTTGTAATTACAATCTTTTGTTAAAAATCAATAAATGAAAAAAGCTATAAATATGTTAGTAAAGAACGCTGCAAAAAATTCTGGACCAAATTATGGTTCAAAAAATCCATTTTTATTATAAAATATTATGGAATATAAATGGAATAAAAAAAATATGAATGAAAGAAGTTATAAATATGTTAGGAAAGAACATTGTAAAAAATTCTGGTCCAAAAAATCCATTTTTACCATAAATTTTATGGAATATAAATGGAATAAGAAAAATAAATGAAAGAACCTATAATTATGTTAGAAAAGAAAATTTTAAAAAATACTGTACCAAATTATGGTCCAAAAAAATCCGTTTTTACCATAAAATTTTATGGAATAAAAAATCTAATATACAATAATTTTTTCAGTAACATTTATGGTAAAATCACTGTAATTAAATAAATATTAATGTAAAATTTTAATAATTTTGCTCATTTTTACAGTAATATATTTACTGTAAAACCACAGTAATGAAATAAATATTACTTTAATTTTTACAGTATAAAATTTTATGGTAAAAATGTATTTTAATGGATGGTGCGCCCAGGGTGCACCATCCATTACAGTATATTTTACTGTAATTTGATCAGGAATTCTTTACTGTATACATTTGTCTTATTTTGTGAAAAAAAACTTTGAGGACTCCTCCTGTATATTTGTTTTTGAAATTTTTTAATCTATATTGAATCTTGTAATTAAATTCCTTTCAGCGAATGTGCCAAAATTGTTCTTCAGCATCAGAACCTCTTCCTTTTACCCAAATGGTACATTATGTTACAACATCAGCCTTATGGTACGTATTAATTTAAGTGTTCTGAATCACCAACCACCAGATTTTAAATAACATTTTTGTTCAAATCTCATTAAAAATTGTTTTATTTTATGAACTGATCTTAATGAGATTTAAATACAGGACTTTAATTGATTCAGATCAAAAGTTCTAATCTGCTTCAAATCAAGTAATTTAAACCTTAAAATGAGTGAATAAATTGAATCATGTTTTGAAGAAACATAACAAGAAGAGAAACATGAATAGCAGATTACAAAATCAAAAGAAATAAAAATATGAAAAATTAAAATAAATAAGAAAAAATTTGCATAATAAATTTTGCGTTATGTAACAGAAATGTTTTCAGAAAAATGGTAAGAGTATCAGAAGAAGAGTAATGGTATCAGTAAGAGTATCAGAAGAAGAGTAATGGTATCAGAAGATCGTGAGTGATAATACTATATGTTTTGTCATTTAATGCGCAAATAGGTTTTGCATATTTACGTTACAACTACATTTCTATTTTCATAAAAGTTTAAAATGTTAAAAGAGAATCTAAATTCTTACTATTTTCATTTTAAATCTTGCATAAAATCTGGAGTGTCAAAAAGCATACTTACACTATTGTAGGGAAAGACCATTAGACAATGCCACCCTTCATCTATCAAAAGGTACCTCAATATTGAATTAAGTTAGCATGTCTTATATACTAGTAAATTGATGTTTAATAATCATAGTGGTAGTTACGCTGCACTATAATTTATTTTATCTATATTTTAATGGTTTTGCTAAAATGCATAAATGTAAAATGTTTTTCATGTTGTTTTCTATTTGAAACTCAAGTTAAAACTTTTTTACAGTGCTAAGTCCACAGAAATGTTGAATGAATCAAGTAACAGACAACTGACTTCATTTGGAAAGTTACTGAGATTAGCCGGAGAGATGGGAGAAATAAGAGAATGCCCAGTACGTTTTTATTAATTTATTTTCGTGAAACACCTGAACTTTTTTCTAATTTCGTTACCAACTAAACCTAAAATAATTTCTAATAAATTATTAATTTAAATTTCACAAACTAAATTGAATATAGTTTCTGAAGACAACTTGAAACTTTTTTTTTGTTGCTAGACTTAATATTGGCTTATGTAATTCATTCTTTAATTTTTTTTCCAATTTTCTTGTATATGATTTCTTATAATTTATATTCTCATTGGTTAACTTATTATAAACATTTAAAAAAAAAAATTCTTAGTGTAGTCGAACCATACCATTATATAAAGGAAATTGAAAAAGTTATCGAGTTCGCAATTGTGAGAAACAATATTTAAAAAATAGTCTCTTTAAATTTGAAGATATTTTTTCTGTTCATATATATGTTTTTATAAAACATAAAAAAAGCGTTATATATATCATTATTAATAAATAATTTTAAGCTTTTAAGAAAATGTTACGATATGTTTATCTTATTAAATTGTGCAAAAATAATTAAACAGTTTATTTTTTAAAACTTTACTGTAGAATTGTCTATAAACCTTTTTACTCTTACTCATATAACTGAAGAAATAAGAACAGTTTAGTAAACTGTATAGGAATCGTTTTTCATTTATTCTTGGTTATCATTCTTTATTTAATTTTTCCTCCCCCTAAAAATTGTATATTTTTTTATCTCACCAATACGAAAACTTGTAAGATATTTTTATTTATTGACTTAAAAAATATGATTAAATTTATAAATTACAATTTTGAAATTTATAATTTCAGAGTGGTTGTGGTGGCAGTATCCAGTCAAAGAAAACTCTCATGAATTACCCTGAAGTCGGTAAGTTGTGTTGCGCAAATAATCAGATAATTTGCAATTTCTTTTTTTTAGATATGAATTTGTAAGTTTTTATTCATAATTTTTTTTTACTAAATGAGCTATAAATATCTATATATCTTTCTTCATAAAATTATGAGTCTAAATACTTTATTTTTAAAAATTTGCATTTCTCTTACTTCTAGATATTCATTTTTAAAAATATATCTCCTGCTATGACCTCCCTATATCTATATTATCTAAAATTTTCATCAAAAATGAATTAAAAATTTGCACATTGGGGGGAAAACTAATATATAATTCTGCTAGAGAAAGGTTATCATAATTTCACAAATTGGTGAAATAATAAAGATATCGAATTTCAGGGGAAACTGGGAGGGTGAAAGAAGTTTATTATACCTTGAAATTTCATCTGGTTGGCAATCAAATTGGTTTGGATGATTTTTAATTCTCTCTTCCCCAATAGCAATTCATTCAGATTTTGACAATGTTTTTATTTTTCTTTGCTTAATTTTTGATTTCAGACTTAAATATGTATACTTCCTTATCTTCCATTTTGATAAGGATCCTTATTATTGAGGGTGGTGTTTATGGAACACCCTGCATTCTGAATAATAATAATATACAGTTTAAATTGTGTTGAATGAATGTTTTAGTTGAAAATGTATATTTTTTAAAAACATTAGTGGTTACATTTCTATAATAAGGTTACATTTTTCAGTAATATTTTATCTTATATAAATATAAATACTATGTGTATTGCTTGACTTAATTATTAAAAAAGGTTCGTAACTCATATACTTGCATACTCATAAGGTTTGTAAAGTTTGTAACTCATAAGATGAACTTTTTGTTTTGCAATCATTAATTACAGAATTGTATAATTTCATTATTTTAGTAAGCATTGGTCTAGTATGGGACTCTGAATCACCAACACTTCAGCACATCACTGATGTTTTCCACAGTATTGGAATGTACCTGGGCTTACAAGACGTAAGTGAACAAAAATTTTTTTCACGAGTTTGATCTATGCAGCATTAACATATTTTTGCAAGTGAGCTTGCAAATTATTCGTAATGTCCATTATTTTTCATGTGTTTTTAAAACATTTACTGGTATTCTATTATTTTAGAAGTTAAGAAAACATACACAATGCTCAAATACACAAATTTAAGAATGTTGTAAATTTCATAGAGATCTTTGAATTACATATTTTGTCTAATAGTTATTTATTATATTTAACAGATGTTTCATAACGTTTATGATTCTGAATGGGCCAATGCTACAACTCATCAACTGGTTGGAGTAGTTACCTATTATGGAAAGCACTACTCAACTTTTTTCTTCCATACAAAATTAGGAGTTTGGATTTATTTTGATGATGCTACCGTAAGAGAGGTAATTATTATTAAGATTCAATTTGTATTCCTTATCTATTTTTTAAAATGATTTTATGAAAGAAAAAAAATTAATAAGTAATTTTATCTATCAGGTTGTTAAAATATTGCAACTGTTCTATAAGATTTTTATTTACTATCTTTTTTTAAGGTTTTAGTAAAAATTATCTATTACTTTGAGTTATTAAAAATTCTGAATTGATGTGAAAGTTAAATGCTTGGAAAATAAAGTGGACTGAAAATTTGATTTATTATCAACTTTAATTTTATTTTATTTATTTTTAGGTGGGGCCAAGCTGGGAGCAAGTTGTTGAAAAATGCCAAAAGGGGCGTTTTCAACCACTTTTGTTATTATTTGCCAATCCAGATAGCTCATTTTCATCCATGAAACAAGGTATGTATTAGTTTAGTTTCCTCTTGACATGCTGGAGTTTTATTTAATTAAATTACTTAAACTATTTCCTTTTCTTTCATTACATTTAAAACAAAACAAACACAGCGTCCAAAAAAAAAAGTGGTTACATTAATAAGAAATACAAATTAAGCAAGAAAATATAATTTTGTCTTATAAATAATTTATTATTGTAATTATGGAAATTTAACAAGCAGTTGAATTATATTTTTTTTTCTCTTATATTCAGTTTATGTAATGATTATATTATGAGCTTTTTGTTTGTCAAATGAACATATGCACCCTGTTAAGCAATTAGACTAACGAATAAAGATTATATCTGCGAATAAATGAAGTCATGATTCGAAATTTTTATTGTAAATGTTTAAATTTCAAAATATTTGAGCTAACTTTTAGAGTTTTTCTTTTGTTATATTACAATATTTGTTTAAAAAAAAAGGAATGCACAATCCATTCCTTTAAACTAGTTGTTTGGTAATTTTGTTAAAAAAAAGACTTTTTTCAATTCTCAACCCTTAAAACTCAACCTTTTCTAAAGCACAGGCACTGAATATTTTTGCATTGAGCCATAAATTACAATTTATGGCTCAATACAAAACAGTAATTAAATTTAAAAAAAACGATTTTTTAAATCAAAACTCATCTAATTTTTTTCCTTCTAGATCATATTCATCCGAATGGTGTTCTATGTGATCCTTGTAACAAACCTTCTGTGATGAACCAAAGACAAGCTGTGATAAATCAATATCTCAAGTTCCAAAATTCTCAAATGGGTTCCTATTCAAAACCAAAATATGGTTTAACAATTTGTGCTAAAGCTCAAGATCCCTATGTGAACAATTACATGCCAGACAAGTATTCATCCAATGCACATAAGATCGCAGATCAAGGACTTACGATAAAAAACACAGGATCTGGTGCAAATTTCATGAACTATGCTTATGAAACGAATCACAATTCAAATTTACCAGTTTACAGCAATTTGCAGTATTTAAACTCTTTACAGCAGTCAAATGAACATGCTGACTTTTCAAAATTGCCTCTGCCAGCAAACTTACCAAGCAATGGTACCAGAAGCGTCATACCCAATGGAGATTTGCAAATGTATAATGCTCTTGATATTTCTAATGCAGTTAAGGATTTTGATGCAGCAAAAGACAGTGATTCAGCTTTTACTGAAGAAGATGCTGAAGTGAGTGACATGTACATCAGTAGGAAAGCCGTTGAAAGTGTTCTTAATCACCAAAAGAGACAGATGACTTTGTGCAGATCGTACAGTCAAAGTGCTATTGGCAACAGGAACAGCAGTAGTAGTTTAGAGTCATTTGACAATGTTCAGTGCAGTAAACCCAGTCCACTGAACAACCAGCTGGACAATGGGCTGATTCGTAGAGATTCTGGATCTTGGGGTAGTGACCGTAACAGTTCTTCAAGTTGCAACTCTGCTGAAAATCCTTTCTTAGCTGTGGTTGCTTCGAAAAGGTATAGTAATATCTTGCAGTTGTTTTACTTCTATATTCAATAATTTTTATTATAGGTTCAATATTATGGCTATTAGTAAGCATTAAGTACTAATTTATTCTTATTAAGTTGTGTTATTAGTTTATGCACTATTAAAAAGAGCAGTTTTCACTGATCTTTTAAAAATTGCTGTCTGATATTTCAATACAATATAAAGTTGATTTTCACAAATTCAGAAGAAAAATCTAATAAAATGATCCTCCCTCTGAGCCTTTCCTTTTGATATGATAGTTCATATAAAAGGTGTAACATACTGTTCAATGTATATGTTTATAGTAAAAGATGTGTTTTAGGTTTTATGGAAAGACTATAAAAAATTAACAATTTGTTGTAATTTTACCACCCTTCATAATTAATTAACCTTAATGATTAGGAATAAATAGTAGTTTAACTTTTACCTTTAATTAGTTTCTGCTCCATTTTTTTTAAAATTCTGAAAATAATTTTCAATGGTAGATCCATGAACAATGCAAAGAAATAAACTTTTTTTTTATCAAGTAGCTCTTAGATGCAAAACATTTAAATATGTAGAAAATTGAAAAGTGAGGATAAGCCTATTTTCTAACATGTTTATGAAAAGTTATCTAGATGTAAGCTTTTATTGTCCAAATGCTTTATTATTTAGTGTTTCAGTGTAAAAATAAATAATATTCTACCTAAAATGTTTGTTAAAAAAATGTTCAAGAATAATTTTTGTTTTAGGTTGCTTTTGGGTTTAAATAAAAAACCACAGCTTCAAGACACCAATTCTTCTGATCATGGATATGATTCTTTCTCAGTGTCCAGCTCTGATAGTTATCCATCAGTTAATGGTTCTCCTGTTAAGGTTGAGCCAAGATTGACGCAGATACCTGAGGATTGGTTTCCTGAAGAAGAAGAAGATAATGATTTGAACAAGAAATTGAGTATTGTAACTAAAGATGATTCAGGTAATTTATAAATTTGTATTTTCTTCTTTACTTGTAGGAAAGATACTTGATGTCGTTTGATTAAATCCTTCATCCTATTTTGTGAATTTCTTCATCTCATTTTGTTCTGTGTGGCTCTGTTAAAAAAAAAAACAGCTCCTATTTAATTTATCGCAAAACAATGCCCACAACTCACAAGAGAGTTTTTACCTCTCTTATTTATTTTGGATATGGATCACCACTTAAGGGTAAAGTTTACCCGTTTTTAGGTAGGTGTAATTTTAGAAAATCTATATATTTTGAGATACCATAAAAACTTCTATTTTTTATTATATATTTTTTTTGAGTCAGAATCAGACATACAAAGCATTGTATCTTTTTTTATCTCAAATTTAGTGCAGCGTTACATGCATCCAGCTCTTGTTCAATTGATTACAATATCCCATCACATTTTAGGGTTTTTCATAAAATAGTAAATTTATATCAAAGTTTATTAGTTTTTTAAAATTTATTTTAGATTATTTCAAAGCTTATTTTAGATTACTCAAAGATCTTAAAAAACAATAACAAACCAGAATTATTATATTTTTAGTTCAAAAATTTAGTTTGTCGGTTATAATGTGTTATGTAATTCCTTTTTAGATTGTGTTGAAACTTGAAAACATTTCAGAATTTTTAAATTTTGTAACTAAATAAAATAGACTTTTTTGTGGCTTATCTAATTCACTTTTGAGACTGAGATATAAATTAATTTGTTAGTTTTAAGTTAAGTACTTAAATTATAATTAATAAAGTAAAACAGAACTTGCTATTGTTTTATAAACTAAACGCTTTAATTGAAAGTCATTCATAGTTCAGAATTAACTATTTTGTAAGTTGATTAAGTTATATTTATTAATCTAACTATTTTTGCAATTTCTTTAAAAGTTTTTTATTTTATTGTTGTAGCAGTTGTTTTCATTAACTTCAATATGAGCAATTTTTGTTTTTTAGTTTTCCGGAATCTAAAATGTTGCAATTATTATTCAATAAATGACCTGTGATGCATTTTGCTATCTCATTTCTCCATTTCCCAAATTTTATCTCTAAGAAGCATTTACCCAATTTTGACGCCTAAGTCACTCAAATAGTTGTCGGAAATATCGTTAAAATAAACTGTACAAGCATAATGAGCGTATAATAAAACAATTTTCTTTCACAAATATATTTTCAATACTCTCTTACGTTTAAACTTTTTGAGTTGCGATTTTTATTTAATTTAAACGCTTAAAGTTTGAAACATAATTATTTGTATGAAGTTTTTTTTTAAAAATGGATTTTATTAAAAATCTAATTTAAACTTTTAGGACCACCTGACTGTGATAAATTATGTGCTGAAGCTGATCTTTTGCTTGCCAAGTCTCACGAAAAAGAAAAAGATGGTGATTTAGTAATGGCTGCCTTATTGAGTGATTCAGCTGCTGGTAAGTTGAAATAAAAATTTTCAAATTCTCAATTAGTTTCTTTGTTGTATTAAACTTATATTAATTTCAGTTCTTAATCTAATGTTGTTTATTTTACAGCTCGAGCAAGGGCTGCCATGGAAGCTCCATACAACAATTCTAAATCTTTAATTTGTGCAAAAAAGAAGCACAGCACTTGTGTGATGAGGTCTTCTAATTTGTACAGAAGGATAAAAGACCACGAATTGGATGAAAGGCGAAAACAGAAAAATCACATTGGGCATCACAGTCGACAGTCAAGTAGAGATAGCACACACTCTAAGCACAGTAGGCAAAGTAGCAAAGACAGCACTCATTCTAAATCTGGAAATAAAGAGAACTCTCCTAATTCTGATGATGGTGATAATTTTGGAAAAAATATTGAAATTTATGGAACTTTGCCTAAGAAAGGAAGTAAGAAGAAAAGTGCTGCTTCTGGATCAACAAAAGCCAAAGATGACCAAGTTTATAAAGATTTCTTAAATAAACAACGCAAGAATACAAGTCTTAGTGAGGCTTTGAATGAAACAATGTTGAAAAATGTTGATCAGCCAAAAAGTCTATCTGAGAGCAGTCCCAAACGGAAAAGTCACTCAAGTAATGATAGGAAAAGCTTTGAAGGAGTCCCAGCTAAATCCCCAACTCGTAAGAAGGATACCCCACCAAAAGGTGATGGTGATGCAAAGAAAAAACCTCCCAAACCACAACCTTCTCAGGTTCCTCAGGCAAACAGTCGAAATTCTGCACCTGACATTGGAAGTAGAGACCTGCTCTCACCCATTACAACACCTGATAAAAAGCAACACAAAATTAAAAGGAAGTTAATGGGTAACTTTATGAAACGCAAAAATCGGAGCTTACCAGATCTTAGGGAGGATTCTAATTCTACAGATCAAATAAACTGTTTCCTGGATGATGCCTTAATAGAAGTTCCATCTAACTCATCAGGTGTGAAGTCTAAATGCAGCCCCAACGATACTAAAACAGCCCAAATCAAACGGAATGTTTATCAACCCCATCATGCTCTTGTAAAGAAGGACTTATCACATAGAGCCCTACCATTGAAAGTCAATATTCCTAGTGTCCAATCTCCAGCATTACCAAGTCCTAAACTCAAGTTGATTCACACACTTCCCTCAATAGGAAAAAAACCTCAAGAGCCTCAAATTGAAACTAGTTACAATACAATTGCAAAACCTTCTAAAATACCTTTTATGACAAGTACATTAAAATGTGAACAAAATTTACCACCTTTACCATTGTATAAACCAATTGATGCTAGTTATCCTAAAACAGGATTAATTCCATCTGCAATTCCAGTTTTAACCCCTCAAATTCCACTTTCACCCATCAAACCAAACACCGTACCAAAAGATTCATTTTCTGTAAATAATTATCATCAAAATTCTGATGAACAAGCTAATGATTTGGATCTTCCACAGCCAACCAATTCGTTCCTTGCTGAATTACAAGCTAAAAGAAAACAAGTTTTGAACAAATCGTCACAAAAACAAGAATCATCAGTTAATATGAATCAGCAGAATTGTTCCAGTAGCATTGAAAGGGAAGGATTGTCCATGCTTCCAAAATTAGCCATTCATGGAGAAGGTACATCATGGCTAAAAGAATTGCAGAGCAAGCAACAACAATTTTTGAGCAAACAAGATCCAATAAAATCTATAATAAAGCCAAACAATCTTGATAGAGGAATGAAGCCCCAAATACCTAACAAAGGTTAGTTTTAAAACAAATGTTTCTTAAATTTATAAATTGTAATCAGCTTAAACATTTCTAATTTTGTTTTTCTCTATTTCAGCTGTTGAATATCAGAGGCAAGAACCAACTAACTATTACCAAAAGAATTGGAAGGTAATTACTTTTTAGAATTTATTCACTTCTGTTATTTCATCAAATTTCTTGTTTTATAGAAATTTTTTTAGTATACAGTGAAACCTCTCGAGAGCGACCACTTTCTATTCCACAAGTAAAATGATTGTTAATGGAGTTCTTAGGGGTTATCTCCATTAACTTCAAAATGTTATCGAAGGTACATGATTTTTGCAAGCGCTTTTAATTTTACTCAGTGTTACTTTCTGGCTGAAATGGCACTTGTGTTGGTGTCATGAAAACTGGATCGATAAATAACCTTTAGCGTCAATAAAGATGATTTCTACTGATATAGTTATGTGTAAAAGCAAATTTATCAATTATGAAAGATAGAACTGTTTTGAATAAACAAACAATTATGTTTTTAAGTTTATATCATAAAAATTAGTTAGCTTTAAGGTTTGTTTGTTTGGGATGATTAATTGTTTCTTAAAAAGCTTTTTTTTCTAATTTAATTTTAACTATAAATAAATCATTGAAAGCTTCGTCTTTAGTACACTCTGACTGCAGCATAACGTTGTAGATCTCTTTTAGAGATCGTTAAAAAGAGCTCCAAATAAGAGCCTCACACAAATATTTTTGAACTATTTATTTGATTTGTTAATATTTTTTGTTTCCCTAAATAACCTTTTCCGTATTTGGTGTGAAAGATAGCCCGGTCGTTGGGAGAGGTTTTGATGGTCTTTCCTCTTCTCCTTCTATACAAAACCTATGTAAAAAAAAATTCTGTGCCGCTTAAAAGTGGCCATAAATAGAGGACGTCGTTACATAGAAGTGGTCTTTCCTGGGGTTTCACAGTATTATCATCCCTATCAAAAGTTAAAAGTAAAAATAAATAAAGAAAACATTTTCTTTTAGTCTGTCCTACTAAGTATTCTTTACTATATATTTTGTCTTTGTATTTAGTCTAGCTGAAACAATGAATGGAAATTAATCTTAATAACTATTCTTGTTCAAAACATAAGGTATTGTGGCGTAACTACCACTATAAATATTGAGTACCAAATCACTAGTATATATAAGATACTAGTATATATAATATAATAACTAGTATATATATACATGTTAACTTGATTCTATCTTGAGGTACCTTTTGATAGATGAAGGTTGACATAGTCGATTTATAATATCCCTCAATATTATTATTATAAAGCTGTTTTTATTTTGTTGTTAAGCATGCAAGTTTGTTATTTATTTTAGACAAATGTTTTAGAAATATTTTTTCATAAATATGTACCATTAGTTCTTAAGACATCTTTTTGATTTGCAAATTCATGTGATGAAAATTTTTTGAATTTACTGTAATTTTGTTTACTAAAAAGTTTTTAAAAGAAATAATGCTGAAACTGACTGAGAATAAATATGTTATATTATTTAAGTAAATAGAAGATTTTTTTAAACGATATTTAAATGACGAAAGGAACGATTCAACCATAGTTATTGAAAATTTGGAATATTTATTATAAATTGAATGTCTTAATAATAACAATAAACTTAATTTCAATAAAATATTTGTTCAACAAATTACTTTTACAACCTTTGTTATACACTTAAAATAAATAACTTAAAATTGACTATTCTTAATGGAAAATTTGTTTTAATAAAGAAATTTCACATTTTATTTCTTTTTAACTCACTTTCATAAATTAACATCAAGAAATTTAATAATTTTTAATTCCTCATAATATTTATTTGATTAGTTAAAAAGTCTTCAGGTCAAGTCTCATGACTTTTGCATGAAATATATAATGTATTATTTCTTATTCGTTGGTTATAATCTCTTATTTCTCTTTTTATTGCTTTACATAGAGATTAACACTTAAAAGGTGAGTGATGTTATATTTTTGATGCTTTTATGCATTTGAGGATACCGTATGATAAAGCTCTTTTATTTCCAGAAATCCTTAAAAAAACCCATCTTTAATAAATATTTCTGGCAAATATTACTAGTGTAATAGTTTTAATTTACTGGTAGTAGCTAGAGAGAGTACCTTTCATTTATCTTCTTAGTATTAGTAAGTTTTAAATAGATTTTTCTGAGAATTTGGAAGTTACTCTTTCTGAAATTAGAAATTACTGTTTCGTTAAATTTCACTTGCACTTTTTAACTCAATAAAATAGCTGAGATTACTCAAATTTAACGCAGAAAATAAAAATAGGAAACTAAAAAAATAAATAAATAATAGATATGTAAATAGATATTTTGTATAAATAGTAAGGTGACGCAGTATGTAATGAAATGTTTTGAAATAAGAATTAAACATTTTCTTTTTCTTTTGACCTATCACTTATTTTTCTATCATTATCACTTAATTCTATTTAATCTATCACTTATCTTATTATATCTATCACTTATCACTTAAAACAGATTTAATATTTTTATTGCAAATGACATAAATCACATTTAAAGTGAAGTTTTTTTTTATACCTAATAAAAAAATTTTTTTTTGCATTTAAAAATATTTTCTGAGTTAGTTCCAAGACTGTCATTAAATCTATTCTTAACATCTATTTAATTACCTCATTTTAATTTAGCTTAAAAAGTATCAAAAACCTTAACTCAAATTGTTTAAAATAGCTTATTTTTGAAAGTTTTTTTTTTTGTATCAATAACTCAGTCAATTAATAGAGCTATTGTGTTGATTCATTTTTAAAAATGTAAATATTTTTCAGCTTCTCCCAGAAAGTATTTCTGAAGTAGATGGAGTAAGTTCTTCAAATCTTAGTGCAGGTCTGCAAGTTGAAGCACCCAATCAAGTGCAGCAAATTCAAGCTATAAATAATTCCATCCTGAATCATCAAATGCAAACTTCAAACTCATATGATAAAACTCATCAAGTGCCTCATGCAACTACATCCAGTCAGATTCATCAAGTGCCAGCTACAAACACATCCAATAAGTTCCACCAAACGAGTCTCACAAATACATCCAATCATATCCTCCAAATGTCTCATACAAACGCATCTCCACTGCCACCTTATACCAATACATCCAATCAAATGTCCCTGACAAACACATCTAATCAAATTCATCAATTATCTCATCCGAGTGCATCCAATCAGATCTCTCAAGCACAAGCTACAAATAGATCTAATCAAATCCATCAAGTGCAAGCTACAAACACTGCCAACAGTGTTAAAAGTTTGGCTTCAAGATTTGAAAAAGTTCTTAAGCCAGTTGTCCCACAATTACCATCTTTTCTGAAAAATGAAACTGTTGAAAACAGAAACCTAACTGTTCAACCTAATGTATCTAGTTCTCGGGATTCAAGAGAGTCAAGTGTGGACAATCAGAATACAACTCCTGATGCACAAAATTTACCTTGTGAATCATTGATTAAAACTGAAATTAACTGTGTGCCTTTGAAATCTGCTTTAAAAGTTAGGTCTGATTTTAATTATAACAACCCTAGTGAGATTAACTATCAAAGCTCATCTGATATTTCTGATAGTCCTTCCAAAATTATCAAATCCGTTTTGAAACCAACTTCTCATCCTGCAGAACTTCATGCAGTTGGATTACCACTTGCTGAAAATAGCGCATCACAAAGACCAGTTCAACCTCCTGATTACGCGACAGCTTTGCAAAGGATTGGAATGATCAAGACCTCACCTAGCGATGGAGGTTTTACTCCTATGGAACAGCTAAGCTTAAGCAATCCTCCAAAAAAGAAACAAGGGCCCAAGAAAACAGTGACATTTTCTGACGAGGTTGTTCTAGTTGCTTGCGCAGAATATGATGAAATTGATTTCTCATCGAATCCTTTGTTTGAAAGAGTTTATCAACAGCATGTGGAATCAGGAAAAGGTGAAATACCGATTTTGAGTAACAGTTATAGTAATAGTTACCCAGTGGAAAGTGGCAGGAGCTATGACTATGAAAATTCTGATTCTGCAAACGTTAATTCGCCATCCTCATGCAATTTGTGTCATAGTAAACCTGTCACATCTCCTAAAATTTACTGCACAGACTGTGAGTTCTATTTATCACGGTTCAAACCAAGTGACTGAACTTTTTAATTACATTTATAACTGTTATTGTTTTTTTTCAATTGTTTAAAATTACTTTATTTTCAGCTGTGATAGAAACACATCCAGGTTCATAATCAAACGCACAAAAAGCTTCATTTCATTTCCTAAGAGTTAGACATAGATTTTGAAATTCAAGCAACCGATTCTTTGTTTCAACTCATTTATAAAATTTATAATTCAGTTTGTAAAACTTAAAATTTGAAAGACGCTTTTGTGGAGATTTGAATTAAGGATGAAAAATCAAATAGCAATTTAAAGTTGAAGTTTATTTATTTAATATTTTTCTATAATATTTTATTGATTGCGGTTTTATTATTGTACATAAAAGTGCATATAAAACAGATTGTTAAAAATTAACTGATTGTGATAGCTGTTAATTATTATATTGTTTTTTAATTTATGTATATTTTTGAGTTCCATCTGATCTCACTGTTTTAAATGCACAAATGCAAATGTTTCACTGGCACAGAATGATCGATTTCAGTTTCAACTCCATACATACATTCCAGTTGTGTATATATAAACTACCATGGTACATCATACTTGTAAATATTTTTAATGATCATATCTTTACAAGTGCCAAAGAGACTGTTTGTTAATTGTAAATTATTTTTTTTAATGCAAAAAATAATTAATTGTTTTTTTTTTCTCTCTTTATAATAATGCTCTGTTGTATAAAGTTTAAAAGCTTTGTAAATATTTTTAATAAAACAATGAAAAATTTATTTGTCTCTTTTTAATGATGCAACTGTTTGATTAAATTTTTATTTTTTAATATTAAATATCTTTCAAAAACTAAATTGACAAGCTCAGCGACAAGTTTATGGACATTTTTACTAAATAAGCAGCAATGGGCAGTTATGTACGAAACATCTTTTCCTATTGAAAACTAACTCATTTTATAAACCTTAGGAAGAAAAAAAAAATAGGACATCGATCCTAATTCTTGACAACAACTTTTTAATATTTATTAAATGTAAAAAATCTTCTCTCAATATGTTCAGAACTTTCTTAATTATATGCACCATTTAGAACTGGGTTTGAAATTATAAATTCAGAATTTGTTATCAATTTAAATTTTTCACTAATTAATATGATTTGTTTGTTGTTAATTTACGTCGCACTAGAGCTGCACAATGGGCTATTGGCGACGGTCTGGGAAACATCCCGGAGGATGATCCGAAGACATGCCATCACAATTTTGATCCTCTGCGAAGGGGTAGCCCGCAGGGCCGTAACTACGCCGGGGCCCCGACGGTCAAGGGGGCCCCATATGAAGAGACCACATCATGTTTTTTTTTTCTTTCAAAATAAAGCACTCTAATTATATATGTGTAGGAAAGAAATTGTGTTAAGATAGATATAACGGTAAAACACCTTTTCACAAATTATTTTCCTTTCTTAAAAGAACAAACACGCTTTACAGAGAAGGGGAAAGGCCTCAGCTGCATGTAGTTGATTGCGTCAGACCCAGTGGCAGAGGTCTCCTCTAAAATTTAGATCATGGGGCAAACGATGCGTTTCGCCCCTCCTGAAATTTAGACACTCACAAAAATAAAGTCAAGTAAAATCAGTAATTTAAAATTTTTTTTCCTTTCAATTTTGAAGCTATTTTTGAAATAGAAAACCTTATATTCCTCTGACATTTACGTGCCTTGTCTCTTCTGATACTTAGTTATTCGCCAAGACGAAGTCTAGTAAAATAGGTAATTTTAGAGGGAAAAAAAAGCTATTCTTTTTCAGCTTTGAAGAGATATACATCAAGTTATTCTGTTATGGGCGATTTATATGTTTTTCGACTTTTGGAAAAGTAAAGTAAAAGTAGAAAAAGTATTTTATTTCCAATTTTTACTCTATTTTCTTCCGAAATAGCAATGAGGGGGCGAACATATTGTTCCGCCCCTTCTGAAATTTCAAAATGCTCAAAAATAATAAAAATTGGTAACTAAAAAAAAATGTCATCTTTGAATCTATTTTCCAAATAAAAGTGAGGGGGCGAAAAATTTGCTTCTCATCTTCTGAAATTTAGACATTAATAGAATAAAATCAAGTAAAGTNATACCGCACACCCTCGGTCCCTACGCAGACTGATCCAAGTGGTCACCCACCCGCACACTGACCGCAGCCAGTGATGCTTGACTTCGGTGATCTGCTGGGAACCGTGTCTTAACGATCAGTCCACTGCGGGACTCGAATTTTGAAAAACATAGATTTAAAGGAAGTCACATTTGTACATTAATGGAAATCACTTACATGTCAATTTAATGGCGATGGACTCAAATATTTATAAGGCGTTCTATAGTGTTGCCTTCAGGAGAACTCCAGACACTCGTCTCGCGTCATGGCGGGTACTATGGTTACGAGGAAAGGTCACTTCGAATACTGGTGTGGGGTGAATAGTCTTAGCGTAGGTCGTCGTGAGTAAACCAATCGACGCCTTCCTTCTTTCATTTCACCCCCATTAGAAATATGCTCTCGCTTGTTACCATGGCCGCAGAAAGCCCCAGACTTTCAGTCTGGAGGAGTTCTTTTTAAAGCCGCACTATACAATCTACACTTTTTATATATTTGGAATTCTTGTCAAAAATAAAGCCAAAGAAGCGTATACCTTAAGGATTATAAATTATATAAACTATTTTTGAAGCATTAGTTCGGAAGGCGGATGAAAAATATCAAAAATAATTTGAATTTCTGGTAAAACTTTTTGTTTCAACTAAACGCCTCTCACCTTATATTTTTTCGGATTATGAAAGCGATTTTGATATTTTTAACCTTACTTTCCCCAGTTGTGAAAATACTTTACATCACTGGATATGAACAACTTCATAGCCGCCAATCTATAATGTTCTAGCTTTTATTACGTTATAGTTCATTTGTTTTTAAATGTCTCGTATTTAAATAGGAAAAATAAATTAAATTGCCAATGCGGGAAAAGGGATTGTTTCTAAGGGATTTAAATTCAATGTTACTTTCAAGATATACATCATTTTTGTTAAAATATTATTATTTCAAATGTTACAAAAAAAGAATTAAATTGCTGTGACCTTAAAGAACTTAGAATTTTTTATTTGTAAGAATACTCATTGTTTTTGAGATGAGAAGAAAAAAAAATCAAAAATAGTGTATCAAAATTATATTACGTCAATATGTTGGGAATTCAGTTGTCTGTAATACAAATAACAGAATGGAAATAGATGAATGATTTCGAAACTTACTAACTGGAAACATTTTTTGGAAAACAGAGTAGAACTTGCCATTTGTCATATAATTCTGAATTGGTCAAAAGTTGGAATGTGAAACAATCACTACAACACATTCTTTATTCAATTGGTTTCAGATTTTTGGCAACATCAATTAGGCCTAAACTTTCGAACTTGAAATAGATTGTTAATATTTTTATTAAGCTTAATTTAAAGGTTTTAAGGGTAATTTAAAAGCATAGTAATTAAATTCAAAAAATATATTTTTACAGTTTAGCTTTTTTTTCACTGTAAATTAGAGTAGATTAAACTGTTTCCGTATTTTTAAGACTAATTTAATTGCTTTCGTGATGCAAGTAAATATATCAAAATATCTACATTGTTAACTATCGTAAGTAAAAATAAGTGTTCTTTATAATCTTCAAATATTTATTTTAATAAAATACTTTTAACGGTTTTAACAATTCAAAATATTCCCTCCATATTCTTATTAAAAAGAACTATATTTATGAGTTAAAATAATTTATGGAGATTAATCAACAAAAAAATTTGAATTTATAATGAATGGAAAATGTTTCCTTTCTTAATAAAAATTTATTATTTTCTTTTTTTTCCCTTCAATTCTTGATAACAAATTTCATTCCTATAATTCAATTCCAGACGATAATTTATATTATCAGGAAAAAACCAAACGCAAAATTTAATGTTGTGTTTCTCCTGCTTATAATTTTTGTAAGGAAAATTAAACATTCTAATAAATTTTGCTTTAGATTTTAAGGCTATAAAGGATATCGATGAATATGTTAATTGTGGGAAGTTAGAATAAAAATGTTTTTTGTTATCTTCATTCATTAATTTTTATATCAATAGAATACTTTTAACAGCTTTTAAGATTCAAAATTTCAAAATATTGCTTCCTTATTTTTTTTATAGAAATATTTATGATATAGAATTCAAAGTGATTTTTCAACAAAAATGATTAAATTGATTATAATTATCATTGGAAAATGTTTCCTAACCAGTTAAAAAGAATTTTTTGATAGCAGATTCGATTCCAGACTATAATTTTTAAATTTTTTATCAGTAATAAAAAATATATAAAACAAAATAAAAATATCCTCAAATTTAATGCTATGTTTTGCTGGCAGACTTTTTCCCCCACTAAAATAAGCGAAAAGTTCTTTCAAATTTTCAACGTTCGATGATAATCAAAAATTAATAAAAATATTGATGAATTTATGTTGAAAACGGTAAGCAAAAACAAAAAATGTTCTTCGTTATTTTTAATTACTAATTTTTCCTATTAATAAAATATTTTCAATAGTTTTTTAGATTAAAATTTTTAAGATATTACCACTTTTTTCTTATTGATAAAAACACATTTTTGAATTAGAAGGATTAATAGAGACAGTTCAACGAAAATATATGAATTCATTATGAATGGGAAATTGAGTAATTAATAACGAATTACTTTGATGAAGGCAAAATGGAATTTAAGAAAATGGAATTTAAAAAAAATGGCAGACGAAACTTTTGGAATAAAATTCACATAAATCTTATGAAATTGTGAATGTGATATATAAAATTTATAACATTTTTATAAAATTCTATAAAAATTTTATATAATTTGTTAAATTTTTACAGTAAAATTATGCTTTTACATTTTATGAAAAATGAATTGAAACATTTTTATTTTATAACATGTAATACGAAAATGGAGAAATCTATAGATTAGATTGGTTGATGAAGGTTTCGTTTAAACATTTTGACTTTTAATTTTTTTTTTTTTAATGTTTAAAATATCGGCTCTAAATATTATTGACATGTGATATACTAGGCATCAATGCTGTTCTATTAATATGTCCTATTAAGTTCTATTAATATATCCTATATACCTAATTATATTTATTCTAACTATGCTAAATTAAAGTTGAATCTAGTATTAAATCTATAAATAAATTATCGATATAAAATTAATATCCATATAAAAATAATTATATTCTTTTTCTATATATTTCCGTATCTAATGCTAATTTAATTGTAAAACATTAAGTGAATGATTCTCTACATTAAAAAAATCGTAAGAGCCACCTAAAATTATGAAGATATGTAAAAAGAATGTAACATTCGTCGCTTAGTTTGAGAATTATTAACTGTAAAACTGGTAACAAAAGATGTCACGAGGACCGCTATGCGCACCCGTTGAAATTTAACTACAGATTAATAATTTGACATGCTGAAAGGGCTAATTTTGGTTTATAACCTAATACTTTGGTTATGATCTAATTTTTATATATAAATCCTGCAGATTTAAATGTCTGTATTGAGATGTCTGTCAGAATATATGTTTTTCGATTTAAAGCTATATTTTTCGTTACATTGAAGAATTTACTAATATATTGATTACTAAATTTACAAATAAGGATTACGTCATTTTTGATTTAGAAAATGTAATGATATGGCTTTGTATACATAATTTAATATGCACGTCCCTACCTTGATCTTTATTTTTAAAACCTAAGTTT